CCCTACAGGAAAGTTCAGGTTTGAGGTTCAGCATTGTGGCAGTTGTTGCTGCTCTGTTTGTGTAAAGTGCCTTCTGAGGGACTCATCTGAAAGACTATTAGGACATTTAGAGTCTTACCTTATGTCAGATTTAACAGGGGTAGTCTTAGTGGTGGTTTTCCACACGTCTGGTCAGTGTTTAGGATGGGAATATTATATCCACATCTAGGTGTTGTGAAAGGCTTTCCAGCCCACACTTGCGGCTTTCCCCTTGCGTCCCCGGTGTCTCAGGCTTATCCTCACTTTTCCATCTGATCTACCTTTTCTCCATATTTAGTCAGCTAAGGCTGAGCGTGGCTTCCAGATACTCTGAAACGTGTCACTCAGTACAAAACTTGTTCCTTGTAACATCTTCTGCTTGGCAGGAATTGCTTTTCCCTATAGATCTCTAAAATGGGCAGTTCAGCTGGAGTATTGAGCAGTTCGGTGGGGAAAGGAGTCACTTAAGAAATTGTAGATTAAATTCTGGACTCCTAAATCTGCTTCACAGTTTGTAGCCCTGAATTGTGTCCCACAGGTTTCTGTCTCTCCTAGAACTGGTCTCTGCAGGTGAACTGATAATTAGGATTGATTGCTATCCCTAAAGGAGAACGGGCTGCTGCTGGGAACGTGGTGAGAAAATTCAGGCAGTAAAATTGACATTGGTCTTGGTTGTTCTTCAACAATACTGGGCTGAAAAAGGTTGGTTCAACTAGCTGGAGCCAGCCCGAGGAAGGCTCCCTAAAATAGCCTCCTGCTCTATTCTTATATGGGAACCACAGCAGTAAGTGACTGTTGCTTCTGGGAATCACATTGTTTGTGTCTTTGTCTCCTTCAGGGGGGTGATGATCTGCATCCTTGACACAGCAAACGTCACTCTCCCCTTCAGAGCAAGCCAGAAGCTGACTTAAAACTTTAATTCACAGCCCTGGACCCCGAGTGACAAGTGCTCCACAGCACAGAGAAGCTCTGATTGACACTTCAGACCCTGAAGATGGGTAGTGGAAGGTATCTCAAACGACACTGCTGAGCAGACACAGCAGCAGCAGCCTCCAGCTAGCCAGGTTCCTAAGCTGATGGTAAGGCAGAATTAGGACTAACACAAGGCAATTAAAAGCATCAGTGATTTCCTCTTCAAGCTTTAATTTGAGAGCCTTTGGAATATTTATGTTACTTCAGACGTGAGTCTTCCCAATAAGACAGAAATGATTTTAACCTGCCATTCCAATATTTCTCATCACATAACCCTGGAAAGCGGGATAAATCGCCCCAGCTTTGTGTAGCCTCACTTCTGCACCTCAATGAAAATGCAAGAGGAGTTCAATTTGACTTGGAAATGGTGGCTACTAACTGTGCTAAAATGGTAAAAACTAAGGGAGAAAGGTAGATTTTCTAACATGTTTCTGGATCCTTCTCATCATTCCTGGTGCTGCACTTCTAAGATGTTCTTAAAACCCCTTTTCCCCTGCAAAGCCAAGCAAACGTTGCCTGTGGGACCTTCTGAGAACTGATCTCACCACTCCTTCTACCTGAGAAGAGAGTGAAGTACAACAGCGTCGCATGAACGTTCTCAGCCACTCACCATGGCTTTCCTCCCTGGAAACTCCTCTGACTGCTCCAACTGCACCCACTCTGTGGGGCCTGTGAACGTTACAAAGGCCATTTTACTAGGTGTTATTCTAGGGGGGCTGATTGTTTTTGGGGTTTTGGGTAATATCCTGGTGATTCTCTCTGTAGCCTGCCACAGACACCTTCAGAGTGTTACCCACTATTACATCATTAACCTGGCTATAGCTGACCTCCTCTTGACTTCCACTGTCCTGCCCTTCTCAGCTACTATGGAGATTTTGGGCTACTGGGTCTTTGGGAGGATCTTCTGCAACATCTGGGCAGCTGTTGACGTCCTTTGCTGCACTGCTTCCATTATGAGCCTCTGTATCATCTCGATAGATAGATACATTGGGGTGAGCTACCCACTGAGATACCCAAGTATAGTGACAGAGAAGAGGGGTCTCCTGGCGTTACTGTGTGTTTGGGCATTGTCCCTGGTGATATCAATTGGACCTCTTTTTGGCTGGAAGGAACCAGCACCAGAAGATGAGACCATCTGTCAAATCACTGAGGAGCCTGGCTACGTGTTGTTCTCTGCTCTAGGCTCCTTCTACCTCCCCCTGACTATTATCTTGGTGATGTATTGCCGAGTATATGTAGTGGCCAAAAGGGAAAACAAAGGTCTCACTTCTGGTCTGAAGACAGAGAGATCTCGTTCTGAAGAAGTCACCCTACGGATCCACCGTAAAAATGCTCCTGAAGCGAGCGGGTCAGCATCCAACCCCAAGAGCAAGCACCACTTCTCAGTGCGGCTCCTCAAGTTCTCCAGGGAAAAGAAAGCTGCCAAGACCCTGGGAATAGTGGTGGGATGCTTCGTTCTCTGCTGGCTTCCATTTTTTGTAGTAATGCCTCTTGGTAAGTAAAGCAAAACCCTCTACCTTTCTCAGCACCTTCCGCGGAGGGGGGGCTGTGTTTGTGCCTGTGTACAATAATACTGACCACAAAAGCTCTGAGGGAATCATTTGCTATTGCAAAGCCATCAGAATCAAACATGCACCTTCACAAAGCAGTGAATGAAAGTCTCAAATGAAACAAAGCTTCTCTGGTGAGGAGAAGCACAGAATTCTGACAATCGTGGGAAGGATTTAGTACTCTTTTTCCATACAGAAAATACTCTTTCAGAACTCCTAACTCTGCTATAGGAACAACATCTTTAGAGGTGTGTGTGTTTATACCTGAGTCTGCAACCAGTTCTTCAGGTGACACAAATACGTAAAAGGTCAAGATATAAACGCATTCAGGGTCAAAGTAGCTTGGACCCAGATCTCCTGGAGTGCTCAGCACCTAATAATTCCCACTGTAAGGAAACAGATCAGTTTCCTACCAGGAAATCCACACTATGAGACACCACAATCCAAATGAAATCTATGTATTTTTCCATTTATTGTGTGACCAGTCAGAAGAGAGCAGTGAGGGTGCTTCAAAAATCATTTCATACTTCTCTGGCTTGCATCTATGGTGGAAACCCACTGAGCCCACTGGCCAAACACTGTCTTCAACCATCATGCTGAGCATGACTATTTATGCACCATCTGTAATTCTAAAGGGGAAGGAAGTTGGGGATTTGTTCTGCTTTGCTGAAATATTAAACAGTAATTAGGATTTTAATTAAACCTGGCTCAGTCACGTTTGATGCTGTAACAGGGTTTACAAGCAGAATACTAATTCCACACCTATAGCTGAGTGTGATGGCTGTGGCACATCACACCATGGCTTGCTCTGCAACAGCTATGCTAAGTATCAGCTTTTGAAACATGGAACCTTAAATCTGTGACTTGCTCAATTTTCTTATGGAAAGGGCTTATGCTGTACAGGAAAAATAAAGTAAGATTGTGTGGAAGTTTGAGGTAGTACAGAATAATGTGTACAAGTAAGAAAAGGAAAAACCAGCCTTACCTCAACATGAAAAGAAAGATTTGGGGATTTTCTTTTTCTTTCAATTAACCTCTACTGGATTTACCAGGATTTCCAGGTTGCTTCACAAAAACCTGCTGCTAATATTGCCACATGAAAAAAACCCAAAATACAGAATCTTTTCTGTTGGTCAATACTGGGAAGTGCTGGAGGATGAGAGGTAGATGTTTTGTAAGGGGGAGCTCTGAAAGGCCTGGCTCGTGCTGTCCAGGATGTCAGCGTGTTGGAATGCTGGTTGCCAAGATGTCTGAAACATACCCAAAAAGGGTTTGTGAGAATGCATTTAACACACTTCTTTTCATCTACAAACGTGGTTGCCCACACAGAGCTGTTGTTATTTGATTTGCTTTGAGTTTAAGAAGTTTTCTGGACTCAAGAGTGGTTTTGCATCTTTCTTTGATCCCTTATAAGGAAGGTTTCTTGAGATTAGTTTCCCTCTCTTTGTGGGGTTATTGTGTTATTTTTAAAGCATATATTAAGTTTTTTGAAACCTATTTTTATTGCTTTTGTTTAAAGTATTAAGCAGACAACTGGCCCAAAAGAACACCTCTTCAGAAAGAACCAAGAGAACACATCTTGAGGCAGGCTGTCCCACTCAGAGCCAGGGACTCACCCAGAGATGACTGCATATGGCACTCTATGCCTACACCATGCAGAACACTTTCCAAAGGGCAGTAACCACTTCTATTCTGCAGACAGGTAAAGGGAGGCATAAGGAAGCAAAGTGATCCAGCCAGGATCACACAGATGATTAGTGGTAGGGGTCAGACTTCTCAGATGTGCAGAATACTCAGTTGCTGAAGCCATTGGCAGCTGTGGAGTTCACAACACAGCTGGCTGGGCAACAAGAACTCTGTTGTGCAGAAGACCAGTCTGCAGCTTCACAGTCATGGGGCAGACCTGTAAATGGTCCCATGTTTATGTTACTGTGACCCACAGCATCTTCAAGATCCTCACATCTACTAGCATCAGCTCTACCCACCAAGAACCACTTTAAGATGAGAGACACCAGGCTTGTTAAAGCATATAACAAAAGGGGATAGAAACTTCTGAGAAGTACATATTGGAAAAGCAAGAGTGATAGAATGATATAAAGAGGGGATTAAAGACATGATATCCATATTTCCAGCAGCATCTGCCAATAACTGGAGAAAAAACTTAAATATCCCTACCACAAGACAATATCTTAATTAAAGCTGGTGTGTAAAGGTGCCAGTTGCAATCTGTATAAGTAATGCCTTTCTTACCTTCTTGGATGGAGTTTCATTCCAGACACAGGGCCTGTGCAAACACTTTCAGTCAGTCCGATAGTCCAATACACCTTCTTCTCACTTCACTTTGATGTTTGTGGAGTAAGCCAGGGAATGACAATCCTGTTGCATTGAAAATAAGTGAGGTTAAGATTTGTTTTTTCTCTGCATGCTGGAGTGTAAACCCACCCTTTACAAAACTTCTGTACCACAACAGTGTCAAACCAGGTGATTTCCCCGCAAAGAAGTCAGTTTTCCATTTCAGAATGCACTTTCTCTCCCTCTTTAGAGGTAACCAGTAGATCTGCTCCTAGTCTCAAAGTTTTCCTGTAAAAGCTTCTTTAAACTCAACATGTTTTCACAAATTATTTAAAAAACCCTCTTGTCCCAGCTAGATCTGCAGTCTTTGTACTCCCCTAATTAAATCTCAGTTCCTCCCTGGATGCAAAGCTTTCCTAGTGCAATGAGAGGTCCTCTTCCATGGTAGTTTAGGGAAGGCTTAGACTGACTGAAGTGCAAGAGAAGAGGTAGCAATAGGCACCTGAACAGGAGTTTAATCTAGGAGCCAGCAAGAACTGCGAGGGCTTTTGCCCATGCCCGTCTCTATATGACACCCATTCTTAGTGAGCTCAGATTCTGGCTCTACTCCACAGAAGGAGCAGATGGTGTAAAGTGCTTTTTTATTCTGCAAACCTTCCTTTGAATTGCTATTGCCCAAAAAAAGCTGTAAACCCACTGCTGAATTAACTTTATTGGGGAAATCCTTCACAGAATCTTCCTATAAATGCACTGCCTAAGACCAATCATGTCCAACAAGTCAGCCCTAGTGTTAGGTTGTAAAGACACACTGATGTCCATGCACATATACTGCAACTGTTTCCCAAAGAGAAGCTTTTCAGCTATGCCCCCCAAACTTTTCTCATTCTACACTAGTTATCCACTTCACTAAGGGTAAGTATATAAGGGATATGTTCAACAGAAGAAAACGTTGTTCTTCTGAATATATTGCTTGCCTGGTCACAAGCTCTAAACACTTACACCGGCTGCCACTTGTTTACCTCAGGCTGACATGTGCACCAAAAAGACTATAGGAGCGTCCTGCCCCATCCAGGTAGTCTATTATTCAGACCTTCAGAGAAGATAGCCAAAAAGATATTTCCCTGTCCACTTTAGGACTCTTATTTAGAGAGATAAGAGTCTCTCATTTCTCTTCTGCAACACTTTATCATCATATTCCCAACTGCTATGCACACAAACCACCAAAACAGAGCCAAGAAAGAACAACCTTCAGCTTATCTACATCTCTCAAAGGTTAAAAAGAAAAGCTTGAGCTTATATGCAGCTCCTGGGCCAATGAGCAAGAGTTTGTGGGTAGAGGCCACAGATGAGGCTCATCTGGGCAATTAAGGTTTGTTGGGCCCTGGCACTCTGCAATGACACTTCCTTCCATTTCTGTTTTTTCTGTTTTCCTCTTGCAATTGCTAGAAAGGGACATAGACAGTTGTAGAAAGAAATATTCAGTCCATGCCCCTAGTGATGGCACCAGTTTTCAAGGTGATGGTGGGGATGAGGTTGCAACTGTCATAGTTACCTTGTTCTGTAACTGGAAGACAGTTATAGGTTGCTCTAGGAACCCTTCAGAAGGTTTCTTTCCAACAACATAGATGACTTTCTGAGGTGAAACATGCACAGAACTGATGGAAAAAAAGAAAAAGGGTTGGGGTATTACTAAAATGGTTCTAAGCTGGGACTGATGGCTCATCTTAACAAACCCTCAGAAGCAAACTCACAAAGCTTTGCTGTTGTCCACTTTCTGTGGTGAGCTAGCTTAAATCTGCCTGGCTGTAGATGTTGCTCCCTTGACATAGTCATGGCTGGGTTGTCCAGAGACTCAGGGAAACAAGGATCTGAATCTCCTCTCTTTCCATTGCTCATCTGATACAAATATAATAAAATCAAATGAATAAAAGCTGTGACTACCTAAAACTCAACTCAGTTTTCATATCAGCAAATGCCAAACTCCAGCCACGGAGGAAATATTCAGAGCTAATGTGGAGATTCCCCACATTAGCATTCAGAGAATAAACAGAAATAAGGTTGGGGGGGGGGGGGGGGGGACCAAACCCAGAATAAAGCCCCAGCTCATTCTTTGCAGCACAAGTCAGGGAGAAGAAGGATGTTTACACTCCTTGAGTCTTGGAGCACAAGTGTCTGGGTTAAGCCATTGAATGAGGAGAAAATAAACCATGAAGATAAAAAGCCAAGATATTACCTTTATTTTTGCTAATCACAAGGGGCTTTTTTCATAAACACAGACTGGAAAGGCTTTGCTGGTCTAGGTCGATAACTCAGCTACGCTGAAGCCAATGGCAAAGATCCCACTGACATCCCTGTGGCCAACATTTCTCCACCGTTACCGAGTCCTGAAACGTTGTGTCCCACTGACTCATAACACAGCAAAGCAACGGAAGGAACTGGTGATATTTATAGCCATTTACACTGAAAACAAGAGAGAGAAGGTGGAGACAGTTGTGCTATGCTTCATGATTCACTTCTGTGGCTCTCCTGCATGCACCACCTGTCAGACGTTTGTCCTTGTCTTCAGAATATCCCTGCTTTGCGTAGCCACCACTTTCAAGTCCCTGGAGTAAATGAACCAAGAATGTAATGTTTCATTCTCAAATGTCGTGG